ACATAAAACTCTACTAGTGATTTTGAACTGTCATTTGACTTTGTGGCACATGAATCTCTGATAGTAGTTTTGACGTGCCATTTGACTTTGTGGCACATGAATCTCTGACAGTAGTTTTGACGTGCCATTGGACTGTGGCACATGAATCTCTGCCAGTAGTTTTTAAAACCTGCCATTTGACTTTGTAGCACATAAAACTCTACTAGTGATTTTGAACTGTCATTTGACTTTGTGGCACATAAATCTCTGCTAGTGGTTTTGACGTGCCATTTGACTTTGTGGCACATGAATCTCTGATAGTAGTTTTGACCTGCCATTTGACTTTGTGGCACATAAATCTCTGCTAGTGGTTTTGATCTGCCTTTTAACTGTGTGACACATGAATCTCTCCTTGTGGTTTTGACATGCAATTTGACTTTGTGACACTTGAATCTTTGCTAATGGTTTTGACGTGCCATTTAACTTTGTGGCACATGAATCTCTGCTAGTGGTTTTGACGTGCCATTTGACTTTGTGGCACATGAATCTCTGCCAGTAGTTTTTAAAACCTGCCATTTGACTTTGTAGCACATAAAACTCTACTAGTGATTTTGAACTGTCATTTGACTTTGTGGCACATGAATCTCTGATAGTAGTTTTGACGTGCCATTTGACTGTGGCACATGAATCTCTGCCAGTAGTTTTTAAAACCTGCCATTTGACTTTGTAGCACATAAAACTCTACTAGTGATTTTGAACTGTCATTTGACTTTGTGGCACATGAATCTCTGCTAGTGGTTTTGACCTGCCTTTTAACTTTGTGGCACATGAATCTCTGCTAGTGGTTTTGACGTGCCATTTGACTTTGTGGCACATGAATCTCTGCCAGTAGTTTTTAAAACCTGCCATTTGACTTTGTAGCACATAAAACTCTACTAGTGATTTTGAACTGTCATTTGACTTTGTGGCACATGAATCTCTGATAGTAGTTTTGACGTGCCATTTGACTTTGTGGCACATGAATCTCTGATAGTAGTTTTGACGTGCCATTTGACTGTGGCACATGAATCTCTGCCAGTAGTTTTTAAAACCTGCCATTTGACTTTGTAGCACATAAAACTCTACTAGTGATTTTGAACTGTCATTTGACTTTGTGGCACATAAATCTCTGCTAGTGGTTTTGACGTGCCATTTGACTTTGTGACACTTGAATCTTTGCTAATGGTTTTGACGTGCCATTTAACTTTGTGGCACATGAATCTCTGCCAGTAGTTTTTAAAACCTGCCATTTGACTTTGTAGCACATAAAACTCTACTAGTGATTTTGAACTGTCATTTGACTTTGTGACACATGAATCTCTGCTAGTGGTTTTGAACTGCCATTTGACTTTGTGGCACATGAATCTCTGCTAGTGGTTTTGAACTGCCATTTGACTTTGTGGCACCTAAATCTCTGCTAGTGGTTTTGACCTGCAAGTTGACTCAGTGGCATACAAACTCGGCCACATGCAAGTAGCAAGGTAACCCCCTAAATATTACAGCATAATTGTATACCTGTGTCTTGAGTGTCCATTTCTTCATCTTCCAGGTAGCTACCGTTCATATTATAATGCGTTGATCCATTACTAACAGATTTATGTATATGTATACTGTTCTCATCCTGACATTCAATGTCCATATCATCCTCTTCATCATCGTTAATTACCCTACTTTTACTACTACTAGTGGGTGCTCCATTCATTATATGTGCACTGTTTGTCACATTCATTTCCACTGTACTGCTATTCATTTCATTATGAGTTGATTTATTGCTGATAATACTTGAACTTGATGAGCTACTACTTCCTATACTCTCATGTCGAGGTGATGGTTTATGTAATAAAGTAGATGATGATAAACTATGGTTTGGACTCAGTGATTGAGGATTACACCAATTCATGCTGGCTTTAACACTTTTACTTAGTAGACTTTTAACTTCACTGTCCGTTCCGTTAACCATTTCTATAAACTGTCGTACTTTTAGCATAAAAAGTAAATTACTATTGCGTTCTAGCAATCCTGGATACAGCTTTTTAGTGGTTTCTATAGCTTCTCCCATTCTGCCTGCAAGAACTAGTTTCTGTATTCCTGTAATGAAAACACAGAGAGAGGTTTCACCAGATGTGAAGATAGGCAGTCAAATAGTTCTATATAATCATTTTAAGCACCACTCTGCTGGGATTGCACAAGTGTATAAAGGAACATAGTTGAACTCTGGAAACCTTGCCCTTTGTTATATAATATTATTTCCTTTACCATAGTTTGTTTTAATAGGAATATACATTCTCATAATTAGTTTTGAATACAAACAAGTTTTAGGATTGAAACAGCAGTGGGAAAGCAGTCTACCGAATGTCCTCAATTGATGTAAATATCTTACAAAAACATTGGTGCCCAATTTGTTTAATTATTTTAAGGGACATAATTTCCAGCTTTATTTAAAGTAATTCAGATATTTTAGTATAAAAACAAATGCCTCATCTCATCTGCTGCATTTAGACATGCAAGATAACAGAAAATCTTAGCTGGCTTTTGCCCAAGTATTTTGTACAGGCATCTATGAAAAATTAATGATTTACTGAGACAAATATGAACTGCCTTATTATATTCATTGTGTGAAAACTAGTAAAAAAACGCCCTCTAGGAATAGCTATCATGTTGCAAGCTCTGCTTTGTATGCAAATCAACTCAAATAGGTAGTTGGTGTCCAGTGGAGATAGAAGTCAACAGTACTGATGTCTCTTCAGAATCTACATCTTCAAACATTGCCATCTTTGTTTTTGAAATGCGTTTTTAAATTATAGTATTATAAAAGATCTATAATTCTGTTCTAATAGCTGAAAAAAATTTCTGTGATTTTTGATTTTCAAAATTTATATACTTCAACAAAAAAATGTTTTGTCAAATGAACTGTACATAATACATAATTTTGAATACAAATTTTCCTTTCAAAATGTGGATGCAACTTTTTGCTTTTTATGTATGTTTGCATTGTTTTTGTTTTGATAACTTTGGACTAAACAGATTTTCTATTGGATTCAGATCTTGATCAAAAGTTTGGCACCAAACTCATAAGAGTGCTTATATCGACTATCTGACATCTTGTTTTCTGTTAAGATTTTATTGGTAGGTTTGCAAATGTGTATCAGACTGTGCAACAACTCTCTCCATGATTTGGCATTGAAACGCCAGTCTAGTATTCCCATGGTACAGTCAAAACTGTCTATAAAGGACAGTCAGTGGACTGAGCCAAACTGTCCTTTATAGACAGGTGGTCTTTATATGGAGGTGGCCTAATTTATTCATTTAATCATGAATATTAATTAGGACCGGAATTTTAAGGGAGATCATAAGCAATACATAAAAACAAACCTACAATGAATAGGTCTTTTTTAATAAAAGTCACTCATTTTCATCTAGATAATTACAGGTTTACTTTTTTACTAATAATTATATCATGTAAATTCACTGAAGCCAAGTGATTCTGCCCATGGATTCATTGTGTATTTAATGCATAAGAACGATTGTCAACGATTGGCCGCATTGGCGTTTCAGCTCGGACTTTCACACTCTCGCCAAGCAGTCTTATTCCCTAGTCTCTTACACATATTCCATTACAGGC